TCGGATCGATGACAGGATAAATTAAAAATATCGTGAACCTGAAGCAAAAAAAATCATTCGAATTCCATGTAATCAGAACTATCCTCACAAATTGAATCACAAAAAAATTTTTGGAGGCTTCCATACGACATCTATGATTTTTATCACCAGAAATTATCCAAATGAGAGTTAACAATAACGAATTAGACAGAATTAAGAAATTAATCACGTGACCGAAAAATCTCAGCTGCATAAACTATAATGACGAAATGACGGAAATTTCCGTCATTTGCTTAAGAAGTCATAAAAAATATGAAAACGAACTACCCACGTCATTAAACTGGATGAAAAATTCCATCGAGTTGGAGTTATGAAAACACGTTTACTAATTCAATCGGAATGGCTCCTACAAAATCAACCTCGACGCTAAATATTTCTGAAGCTAAGAGCGAGTAAAATTTTTGTAACAACCTTTTCTGCAATTCAACTCTGCAAAAAATCTCTAAACAAGAATTTCACTATCACACTTATATTCGAAGATATTGAAGGGAAAAATCATAAATAAATGCGTTTCTGGTGTAAACAAATAATATCCAGGATTAAAAAATGATACAAAATTGAAAAATTGAACAAATTAAAAATGATAAAGCAAAATCAGTAGAATTTTAATGACGTGGATAACTTTCATAATGAAAAACTCATTCAAGCGGTGATAATGCTCGAAGCAGTGAGAGTCATTGGATATAAAAAATGACTAAACGAAAAGAAATACCGATGAAGAGGTTCGTGAGAGTTTTTGAGCGTTGGCCATAGGGCAGGATCTTTCTAGTGGGTGATTTCTGTTGTGGCACCTTGTAATTTCCGTAGTCACGCCGGCGTGTGGTCGCACAGGGCGAGTGAGCAGTCTTCAGGGTAAAAAAAAACCGGCGAGATTCCTCAGGTGAATTGTATCTGCTTCTCAAGAAAACTATATATTTATCGATAACAGATTTAATGATTTTCCAAAACCACTCGAAATTTTTGGTTGAAATTATCAATACATTGCCCCAACATTCTCGTCATATTACAGTTTCACTGAGATTCACGTAAAGAAAATTCGCCGTTACCAGGAGAAGCCATAAAATTAGCATTCTCCATCAATGGTGATTGATTTGAGTGGTTGAGAATTGCAATTAAAAATGCAAATCAATTGATTTCCCGAATTGTCAATGAAGATGGAAAATTAATGATTATTTCTCGCTAAATCGGGTACAATATCACTCTCCTGAAAATTACTGGGCAATTGTCCATGAAATTTCAATGTTATTCTAAATGCATACCACCAACTGTCGAGGAAATGTCGATCTGCGTGATTTTTTGGTGTATCCTTTTCTGTCCAACTGTTTAAAATGCCGGATTTTGTCAGTGCTATTGAATATACATGTCACGAATATACAGGCAATACACCTTGAAAATTGCGTAATAATTTGCGCGACAGACGATAAACCAGAACGAAAGAGAGACGACCTTGAGGTACGTTCCAGAGCATACCTCTGTCGCCTTGGCTCACCGACTCGTCTCTTCAACAGGTAAAAAATTAATGAAACGAGCCCAAGTGCGACGAAAAGTCCAATGAAAAATCCCATATCCATATGGTATTAACGATCATCAGATCGTCTCGTAATTGGCTTCATCTCTCGATTATTTTGTTTTTTAATAGTCCCATCCCCGTCGACTCGCACTGATACACACGATAGATAATGAAGATGAGAATGCAGGTTATAAATGGCGCGGTTTGTGTTATGGAGTATCGTACGAAGGGATCGAATAATGAAGATTTTGTTTTTCCTCTTTTTGGGTTCAGTGATCGCGAGGCACAGGCAACCACTGGAAATCTTCGGGGCCCTGCACCTTTATACCTGTCTTTCACCTCTGATTTTACGTGTCTGATCCTTCAAATCTTCTGGAGAACCAACGGTACACGCACACTATTCTCTCTCCCTTCCCATTACATTTTTTCCTCTTCTTTTCACGTTCAAATGAGTCACCTTTCAACTACCGGTCTTTATGTTTACTCCATAATTTTTTAAATTCCTGCTACATGTTTGTGTGGACGATTTAATGACGAGGCTGGGGCCTTGCATTCTTGGAAAATCGGGTTTTTGTTCACTGTCAGCCGGTAATAAATAATGAGAAGACTGAAGTGTGTGGAAGTTATTCAATGGCAGATTCAATTGCCGATTATGCGAGATAAGGAATGCCTTAATAGGAATTTATAACTTCATTACAGCCTCTTGTAAATTCTATTGACGATTTCTTTCAATTCATCTCATCGGATAAATATGATTTTTGCAGATTAACACTAGATTTTTTCTTGATTGGCAGTTTATAGTTGAAAGTCGTTAAATAAAATTCCCCCTGATTTTCTAAATCTTCTCATTGTCCTATGAAAATAGAGAATATCAGATCAAGTGCTGAGAAACGCTGAGCACTTGTTCTATCAAAAGTACTTTCACGATGAAATCCAATACTATGATGACAGTTAGCTTACGTTGTGCCACACATATTTGTGCTGAGTAAAAACCATTTCATTCGGCTGTAGGCGTTTTCACACGCTAAATGACACATCGTGCACATGTCTCGGGTTGGAGCTGTGCTATAACTCGTGCGATGACGCAGATTCAAGAAAAATACAAGCAAGTCCTCTCATCCAGTATCCTTGTCCACTTTTTCCTCGTCCCTCCTCAAACGTTTGTTTTTTTTCCTTACATTAATCCGTGTCCTCTTACCGGTTTCGATGGAGGAAAAAACGAGAGTATACAGGCGAATATTTTTCGAGAGATTTCACATAATTCGGGGAGACAGCGAGGTACGTCCTCTGGTCTCGTAGAAGTCACAATTCATGAAATGTTCATTAGGGTCTACACGGCGCAGAGTCCGCGGCTGAAGAAACAAAAATGATGCAGTCAAATCAATAAAGATGACATTATCCGTGGAATTTATCAATCGCACTTGGGGCACAAGGTTTTGCTCCATACAAATCAATGTTTTGCAGACGACAACTTACGACTCGAGGAGTTTACCATTCGTTGTGTGGAGAAATCGCGTGACGTAAGGTGCCCGCATAAAGGCAATCAAAATAAATGATGTTAAATTGCCAGCGTAGACTGGACTGTGTTTTTTTTTTTTGATCGGCTAAAAGTTGTGCAGATGTGACCGCCCATGCGACTGTGTTTTCAGGGAGTTTCAGTGCCTGGAAATGTCAAGGGGAAAACGTCTTCTTTTGAGATACTCATCTAATAATGAAAATATCTTGGAAATGTTTTTCAACACTATGAGCAATTCCCAAATACCACCAGTAACTCATAAATATTGAGTTTTACCCAACTGAATCATCAACTGAGTAAACTCACTATCAGCTCTATTTACAAAAGGTATTCGAACCCAGGAAAAATTCATTCACTCGTTACCAACAAACCCTAATCTCTCTCTTATGGAAGAAAACCTCATCACTTGATAACGACTCAATTGGAATAGTGTCGTATCGACTTAGGAATGCACATGAGGCTGAACCCTACGAAGGCAGTTTGAAACTAAAGAAAGACTGTGAAGAATGCCCTTATCACAACAAGAGCCTCAAACACTCAGACTGATCAATCTCACTGGGCTGTTCCCGGAGATGTTCATTGTATCGTAAATAAAATAACAGAGGCTGGAACCTTCGGTTATAGAACTGGTTCAGGCTCGTGTGTGCCTCTGGCGATATTGAGGAAACGCCCCGGAAATCACAGTTCAAGTTCAACTATTGGATGCACTAAACCTAAACGATATTCAACAATAAATTGTGATATCCCTGAAGTTGTGCCTGCAAGTTAAACACGTGCCATTGGTTTCCATTCCTATGGAATAGATGGGAGAATAACGTGTTCGAATGATTTTGGAGTCAATTGACTGAGGAATTGCAAATAAAGGATATTTCAAAATTACTGATGAACCATTGTTTACTCTACTATGGAAGAATTGATGAGTCACCCGGGACTATCGGCCCTTTCGCCATTTTTGTTGGAGGGGGTCAAGGGATCGACGATTGCCGTGAGTAGGGGAAAAAAAAAACTCCCAACCAGAGCAAAATCCCAGCATTGAGGATCCATAGGGGTTCACTACGTTCCCCTCGTCCTCTCTCGCTCCGTTATTTGCAGACCGGTTGCCATCTCTCCGGTATTGGCCAGAATTGCATTGTTGCTGATATGCGCAGCTGTTTCGAATATAAGCAAATTATTGTACGGAATTGTTCTCGCCTGGTTCGAATGAATCACAAACAGATTAACCTAATCACTCCATTATTCCATGTTCTATTATCGCCCGTTGTGGATAATTTTTAATCGGATTATTTCTCATCGAAGTCCATCAAATCGATGCCCATCAAACGCAAAAGAGCAGCAATGAGAACGATACAATATTTTAACTGACAATTGTACACCGACTTATGTACACTGCAAACACCCCCATTCAACCGTTGACCTGAAATTCCCTTTCCGCGTGAACACCATTTATTGACTGGACTTCACAACTCGTACACACGTAAAAGTGAAATTGATCGACTTGATTGTCCAACCACGATAATTACGCTGCCATTTTCACGATTCATAACAAAATTACATGGCACACATAAACCCACGTAATCCACTCCTTTAAGCGTCACAAATCGTAATCAAACGATACATAATACCGAGCAATTTGCTGTTATCAGCGTGCATTTATTCCCGGAGGTTAATCAAATTTCGTATTCAACCAGTTATCCTGATATTCTCGATAGCCTGGCTAGTTTATATTGTGGGATGTAATTAATCCCGATTGCGTACAAAATTAGATGAGCAATTGACGAATGCTTATTATCCTCCAATAATTGCTGAGAGGAGACGATTGATCGATCACGTGCAATCGTTAGCCCTCGCAGATTCATTATTCTGTGCCTCGGTAGGCGAAAAAGTTTGGAAATTAGCAATAAACATGAAGAAAAAAGGAGTCAAATAATAACTCACCAGTTGAGTTGGAATGGTGCAGAGAGGATCACTGGAATCTCACTGGTGCCGGCGTCCAATAAACTCCGATTTACAACCTTCAAACACCCGTCACGAGGTTTACGCGGCACATGTTCAAAAATGCGTCATTTCCATGACTCAGCTTCATAGCTTGCTAAGGAATATCACACTGCCACTACCGCATCTATTTATTTACGTGATTTGTTATTGTTTTGCACGATCACCTCTGACGTGGGTAGATATTTAGATTGTGCCAAGCGATCGGGACAACGGATTCCGTGGTACTATAGAATAGATTTGTTGTATGCACCGCCTGATCTCTCGAGTGACGGTTAGAAGGGGCAGATGTTAAAGTACGAAAATTACCGACAAGCTGCGGAGGCAGCCGAGGGTGAGTGTAACATTTCATGGGTTTCTTGGTAGATGTCGTGTATTAACCATTTCGGAGGGAAATGAGTAGTTGATTATGTAAGTTGAATTATTTATTCGATTTTTATTTATCCATAAATAAATAATTGAGAAATTAATTTAAAAATGAAGCACTCTCGTTTTCAATACCTTGGAGATGTTTCTGGCAGACTGTCAGCCCCATTTTGTGAAATTCGAGTCCGTGACGCTAGCAGGTGTGATTGGCCATAAAGATGGCGGCAAATTTGAATAGGTCTTCAGGTGCGGAGGAATGTTCCAAATCGGGCGATCTGTGGTTTCCTCGATGGTGGAGGACAGAGGGTTTTGGAAGAACTCGGTGATGATTTCCAGAGGATTTGGAATGTCCGCTGAGAATTTTTTCGACTCTTTTCTTTGCTTCAACCAAACTAAGTTCAGGACAAAAAAAATGGGTTTTATAAAAGTATAAAGTGTTAGGAAGTGCAATATCTTTAGTCTTTGATCCTTGATTTATTAATGCATTAATCCTTTAGAATAACTAGAGGACTGAGACCTGGGTGGTGGTGGGAAGCTATTTGAATTTCATTTTTACCGATTCGCTCGAGTTCCCACATCATAGGTGCAGTGTAGTGAGAAAATCTGCAGCTATTCCCGAATGGACAGCCATTCTCTGAAGTGGTTTTCTTGCAAGGTATTTTCGTGGATTCTTCTCTCAAGATCTCCTCGGGATCTGGGGAACAATCATTCAAATAGTTAGGAATGATCGCGTGAGACTCCTGTTTAAAATTAACCTCTTGAAAGAGTGCCATTATTATTCGAGAATCCTAAGGGATAAAATTACTCCATCTCTCGAAAAACAGTTCGAGGATTTTGCCTCGAAATAAATAATTCTAATTATATGAGGGATTCCGAAGGCAATTGCTCGCTTTGTAACAATGAAACTAACCTTTAAACTGTCGGTAATGTTCTGCATAATTCTTTGCATGTTGCAAGCTGCTCAAATGTTTTTTCCTGATTTCCGAATTATCCTTGAAGGATCTGTCGCAATAATCGCAATGATACCGTTTTCCCATCGTGACAATTCAACTCATCAATACCTTAATCCAAGCAATTAATTATTAATTGCCACTAATGTCACGACCCAAATACCCAATTCCGAGACACGGCATTAATAATCAATTAAACCCTCCAATCAGACCCATAAATACAGCAAACTACGATCCTTCTCGATAATCCACATGTACCGAAATGTAAACACTGTACACACACTCATAAATTCATTTGTGAATGGAGGTATAAAGGAAATCCACCGAAAAGTTATATTGATCGTAGCAAGTACCTCACGCCATCTATGTACACAGATTCATTATTTTGACTTGCTGACAATGTAACAATAAATGGCAGTCATGTCTTTAGTGGATATTTATTTGAAACATTTATTTCCTTTAACATTACAATTTTCCTGGTTTTTCTTCTTTTTTACTTTTCACTTATGTCATAATAGTTCGGCCATTTCAGCTCAGCACAGTGTGCACAGTAAACTTGATTGTTGATGAGTAAAGTAGCATCATCCTAGAAAATGTCTGTCTCGTTCGCATGCACCCCAAAAATATATCATATTGGGATTTTCAACACTGTGAATAAATATTGGATTATCCAGAAATTATTATCAATTAACTATGAATATGGTATTTATGAAATTTAAATAATATCATTGAATTTATGATCTGCCTGGCTGAAATGATCGATTTGATCTCGTGAACATTGTTCCTCCAATTTTGCAATAAGAAAACATTGGATAAAATTGGATAAACGATACATTTTCTACGATCACACTCATCTATTTCTGATTTTCTGAAATCTTCGTTAGTCGCCTAAAAGCATATCCTGGAATCTATCGATTAGAATCGAGTATTAGGTCAATTGTCAATTTCAATGTATCAGGGAATGGTAGTTTTTTTTTGTTTATTGAAATAGCAACGAAACGCCATTCATTAACTATAAACGTGGTGCATCATAATTCAAATTAGTAACTTAATCTTATATTTTCATTATTCATTGTAATTTAAAAGTATATTAATGTTAATGGTATTTCACTTGGTTGAAATTCATATTATTATCTATGAATAATTTACTCATTTATTACTGCGGCGAGGGGAATAATGAAAGCCATAATTCACACAGAATCACATAAAGTTTTTAGGCCTGCTAAAAACACTCTCTACCAACTCAGAGTTAACAAAGCAAATCGACTAGAATTTCGATAATCGCAATTGATAAGTTTCCACTACACGATTTATGCCACCACTCGAATCGATAATTTGTAAGCATTTTGGTTACAATCTACAGTGACGACCTATCGCTGAAAAATATATATTTTATTTAAAAAAATGAATTCAATGTGGCTAACAGATGCGCAAATATTTTTTTTTCGCCATATCGGGGATAATTGCAATGCAGTACTTCATATAGCTTCATACATCCTGAGGGGTCTGCAAACATAATCCTTGTTATACTCATTTTCATGATCAATCTAAAAGTATATTCAATTCTGAAATACTCTGGAATTGCAATAGTGATTCAGAGTGGAAAACCTCCATATGCACCATCAACCTGCAGATTCCACAAGAGGTTTCACTATTATGATTTTAATTAGAAACGTGTGAAAAACACAAAGATACTGAAAACCAAAATTTTGTATACAACTTTCAAATGATTATCAAATCTTCATTACTCTGCTTTTTGTCTTTATCGTACATATTTGGTTTTTTTATTTGGTATTTAAAGGTAAGTTATATTTTAGATTAAATCACTCGGCAAAGATGGAGTCTAACATTAAGCCCCGTTCAGACGTTTGTGCACAAGAATGATAGGGGACCGTAGGCGTGGACCTCGTGTTTCTTCATCACAAACTTATCTCGATCATTCAGCATGTTTACAAAATCAATACCTCCGAAATTCCAAAGCATGAGTAATTACATCAATTCTCATGTTCCCGTCAATACTCCTTTCGGCTCTTAGTGTACCATCTACAAATATTCGTGTATTAAAAAGACTTCGTTAAGGTATCCTTGTATCAGCTATTTAAACCTTTTTCATTCTCTTTAAAATCTACGGACCTTCCCATCCTCACTACTGGCAATTTGTGAATGAACGGTGGGGGAAGGTAATAATTCAATAATTTGAAATGCTATATAGACTCGAGTACATTAAAATTGGAATAAAATTGAGTTATCCATAATTTTTGAACTGAAGTATTGTGTAATTGTCGGGCATGAAATATAATTTCTCAGCCGTCATTACAGTGAGGCAAAAGTGGTTCACGACTTTCGGTGTTCTCGACAGAGTCATTAAACAGTAGAAGACCAAAGGAAATCCACCTAATTCCAATGATCGCAGACCAATACTCATTTACAGAAGTTTATCTCTGGGGCAAGGATTCACCATCTCTCAAAAATTCCAGGAGATTAACAAAAAATCGCGTTGTAATCCCTACGATCACTCGAGCAAGGCCATAAAATGAGAGGTGACAAAATGTTATGATAAAAAAAAAAGTGATATCAAGTCCAGCGCTTCGTTCCCTTTTACTACTCTGTCTTGTCCTATGTTCTTGGATCACAGAGCTACTTTCCACATCATCCTAAATCCCGCTTTACTTCTTGACAGGAGCCTCGGGTACCTCCTGGCGCACCTTGTGACCCCGGAAGCTCGCTTGAATTTTCGTTGCAGCTTTGTGGAGATCCGGATCAGTAAGATCGATTCCTTCCAGCTCATTGACCGCATCATCGACCTGCAAACAAATTAGACCATGAGATACAATGTACTGGGAGCATGTCCTGGGCTTTTGGTGTGCCAGGAACGAATAGGAATGGGTGTGTGACTTTCTAATTCCTCAATAATAGCTCTGTATATCACGATGCTCAAGGTATAAAACCTCATCTTTTGCGCAATTAACATTTTTTTATAATTGTTATTATCCAACTATTCTGGGAGGTAATTGCAACGTGGCGTGATTTACCAAAGGGTTTGCTGTTGAGTGAGGACGCACCAGACAAAAAACTTGAAAAGATGGGCAAAAGGGAAAAGTCTGTCAGCATGGGCAGAGTTTACAAGCTATGTAAATTGCAATTACCTGCCCACGACCTATATTTGTTCTTCGTCGACACTGTTGGGGCTCAACGGAGGCGAAAAATTATGCCTCGGTTGCATGGTCTTGGGCCTTTTAACATTTCGTTGACACAGGGTACATGCGACCGGTTAGTTTTAAAACAAGTCTTGCAGACTCTCACCGGCTCGACAACCAAGTCTCTTAACTGTGGGGCATATTCAGTCGTAGTCAGGGCTTTCGTTAATAATTAAATTTAGTGGGTGAAGTAGCTTGGCGGTCTTCATCTTCCACCGAATTTAATTCATTGCCAGGATCTGCGGTTACCACTAACTTTGTTTCAGGCCACAAGCAGATTTGTAAGATGCATCTATACTGGGTATTCTGACCGGTTTGACATTTTTCATTTTAGTTTATTTACGGGATTGGTGATGTTAATGATAATAAGGCGGGTGTACTTATGAAGCGACTATAAAAAAGCCTCATATGTGCGTCATATTACGATTAAATATATTAAATAAATTTTGTTTAATATTTGCGATAGCTTCATTTTCTACTATCAATTCAGAAATGAAGATAAAATCTGATACAATTAATTAATTTTTTTTTGAATCACTCCACAACTCCACCCACAATTCTAGAACTTCTTAAATTCTACAATTGACGTGTGCACTGAAGCCGAAAGAATCCCTGAAAAGTTGCAGAAGTATTTTCCATGCAACTTTGATAAATTGAAGAATTGCGAATTGGTAATGCAAAAATTAGTTGCAGACGTAAGTTCTGTATTAAAAGTTTCTCATCTTCAGATGAAAGTTGAATAGAAATTTCTTGTCAGCGTCGAGTAATCGGCGTTTATTGAAATTTCCACTTGGCTATAACTTCCCTACCTCACAAGCACGTTCATAACATAAAATTTGTAACTATACTGTTGAATAAAATTGCATAAACAGTATCACCTCTCTGAAAAAGGTTTTCAAGAATGAGGCTAACAGTTTATAGCACCCCTATATTGAAGGTTAACGACGAAAAGATGATCGCCGCTCATCGTATGTGCCAAAACTCTAATTATTCGAAGCAACAAAATTTTAATTGCCCACAGCCATAAAATTCCCTATGTACGTCGCCATAACCTTTCCATCTGGTCCATCTACCAGAGCATATAAACTCTCGGTATAAAAAATTTATGAGAGGCGAGATCTGTCGAGGCCTCGCCCCATTGTTTTTATGTCATCAAAGCGACAACAGCCGTCGGCTGAGAACTTGCTTCCAACTCCATTTATATATTTTTTAAATATTATTTTCCTCCTTGAACTCAACCCAATGTGACACCTGTTTTTTCACCTCCCAGTGAGAAATGACCCTAGGCATCAACTTTTTACCCCTATACACTCCACAAAACTCAGACTGCAAACTTCCCAAAGGCGTTTCTACCATTTATCTCCAGACATGTATGCGAATGCGGGTATTATGCTTGCTATGCGAAAAAGTCGAGGGTTACTTGGTATTCACATATTTCACTATTTCTCTTGTCACCCAACCTAACGATTGAAAACGACCAAATGTCATCTCAACGGTGCGACGCAACCCATTCAAAACCGATATCGATTTGCAATTTTGTATCGCAACTCTAGTTGGTGTTGCTCTCTCTTTGGCTCATGATTCCGAGTACCCCGTGTCTGTTGTAAGCAATAAAATTCCAGCACACATATACGTGCAGTCAGGTGATAAAATATGAAGGAAAAATAGAACGAGCGCTTGGGGATGTGCGGTAGGTAATGTTTTTTTTTTTTTTTCATGTTCTCCATGGACATTTGTATGTATGTCCGTTGATCCTCACCTCTTCAAGAGTTGATATATTGAATTTAAAATACATCCGCAGATTTTCCGGGGTTCTTCGTGATATGGTCTTCTGTGCTTGTGCAATTTACGAAGCATATGCCTTCCCCTGGGATTCACCGGAATATAGAACTTTAATGGAAAGCAAGATGGAGATTAGTTTGCTCTGCTTTTACCTTTGGCTTTCCCCTTCGCATCGAGTTTTCTTATTCAGTTCTTGGATTATTTTGCATTACATGGGCCACTGTACTGAATTATACTCAGTGCGTAGCAATGATCAATGCATCCATCGTTAACAACAGCACTCGCTAATTATGGTTCTATATTTAAAATGTCACCGGAGCTCATTAACAATCTGCTTGCTATATTGCGAAATTATGAAGTTCGTCAATCAAAATGCATTTACTGATATCAACTGATTTTATTTGAAGGAGCACTCATTTTCCCGACGGAAGTGCAAACATTTTATAGGTCTTGATAGATTTTTCGCTGCGGATGCGTCGGTGGAGAAAAATCTCATTTTCTAGATAAGATTTTATGTAATTTCCCATCAGAAACTGCTCACTTAATAATAGTACGGAGGTGTCGTACTTATTTCCCGTACGCCTCCTCGATTTATTTCAAGTTATTTCAGAACGATTACGTTAATAAATGTTCAGGGTCTTCTACAATTCCAGAAAAACCCGCGGTTTCGCTCGCAGATCTGCAATGATAAATGTCAGGATAAAATATACTTGGCAATAGAAAGTTCTTTCTCTTGTCATGTACATTAAAAATGCATCTCTAATGCATATGACATGGGATTGTGGTTAATGGTATTCATGGATAATGCGGAAGTCCGTGGATGGAAAAGTCTAGTTTATTGGAATTATTTTGGCAACGAGCGTACTGTTCTTCCCGATGAAATTGAATGGGGAGTTTGAAATAAAAATCTTATTAAATTGGAGAATGAGGAAAGTAAACAAAATTTCTAGTGCGATAGGCAACAAAGTGGCTAGCCTATTAATTTGATGACAAGGCATTCCGTCCATTCATGATGATCCGATGTGGCGGATGTTATAGGTGTGCGAAAAGGGATATGTACCACATCGATGCAATATCAACCTCTACATCCAGATGCATCGAACAATAGGCCTGTTTGTGGTACTCACCATGATCGATCATTGGCTCCACGGTACGCACTATACGGAGAACAACCACTGACCGGCACATTAATCACGAAAATGTAACCCGATTTACCCAGTCGACAAATTCTGCGAATCAACGTAATTCATGCGGTGACAGAGTTTATTATCTATTATCAACATAGACGTCATTGCGGGGGCCTCTCTAATATCATTACACACACCGTCAATATTGATTATGGAGCACTAATGGGAAAATTTCGGATTAATATCTCCAATATTCGAAGTCAAACCAAGAGAGGAAGTTATTCATACAAATCGGGCCTCCAGTTTCATTCCACTTCTCCATGAAAATGTGGGAAACAACGAAATCGATATGCAGTTACTGCAAAAATCGGGTAACGACGATACATCAACGTTCAACACGAATGAAGTCGACCCTCGTGACGCTTCGAATTCCATCTCCACCTGAAAATTCTGGCGAAAAGCTTGAAACGTGTTGTGGAAGACGTAAATGATGGAAATCCCCAGACCTGCCAATCGTGGAATCCTCAGGAATTGGAGAAGTATCTGGCGTGTAGCATCCTGAATGCTGCGAACGTGTGCTTTGGACAGGGAATATTCCCAGAGGATCTACCATTGCATGGACATAAGAGAATCATCTGACCGTTTGATAAAGCCCATGGGAATATCCCTAACGTGCAAGCTTTATTGAACACTTTTGTTCCAGTACTCTGATTACAAGCATTCATGAATTCAGGGATACTAACGGAAATCATAATGCCAAATCATAATGCCAACAGTTATCTATATCGGAACTGTCAAATTTCTGAAAATCCACACGAACTTTTTGACAACTTGTTTTCTTTCAGATTTTATCGACAATCACCCGGGGGGAGTTAAATATACGAGAAAATATAGATGGAGATAAGTTTGGGGTGACAAAGAATGAAAGATAAAGAGCTTCGGAAACGACAATCTGTCAACGTGTCGACGTCGAATTTGTCCCTCGCAGCGTTTCAGTCTCTATTTTTTGTTGCTCAATGCGGAATGTCACGTTTCGCTTACTGCAAAGAAGATATCTCGATGTACTAGGGATAATTCTGCCGTCAAGTGAACTTCGCTTTCGTCTCTTATCTCTCATCATCCATATCTCCCACGTTTCGATTTGTCTATAAGGCGGTACCGATTCCGGCAGCAGTTGGTACTTTTTGCCATTTTGGTGGAAGGATGGAGAAGTGGAATGGATGAGAATCGTATATAGAGAAAATGGAGGGAATCGAAATGAGAAGAGGAATAAAAAACGTGGATGGAGGGGTATGTGATGGAATTAAGGGAAGCTGCGAGGTAGGCAATTTCGCTTCAACTCTCAGGCATTTTCCACGAATCTATCTCCTCTGCCCAGTCTTCATCTACTAGTCCTTGTGCGATCAGTGGGAGGTGTCTGTCGCGTACGATATCAGTACAAATGACATAATGGAGAGGTAAGCTCACAGCCGATTATTCTTTTATGCTTTGGATCCTTTTGAAAAGAGTCTGCTAGTAGTCTAGCCTTTCGTTTTAGCGGGGATAATCGACGAGTTTTCAGTTCTAAACGCTTTCTCTTTATCAGAAATATGGAGATGAATTGCGCAGTGTGAGTGCAATTAATAGCTAAAAGCCAAGTTCACAGAGGGACAACGAAGTTGGTGTTTCGAGATAAACGTTGGGGCTCTGGAAATTGAATCAATCGGTGGATATTCTATTCATTCAATTATCGTCATATTTGTACTAACTTTCGGTCTGTAAAATCTTCAATCGCCATTCTTCAAACGAGGTAAGATTTTATCTATCTACTAAAGATTTAATGTAAATGTCAAACAATAATTGAAAGCCATTGGGGGGGTTATACTTAAGTAGCCAAGTTGGAGTTGCAAAACAAGAGTTATGACTCCGGAAACTGTAGTTTCAACGAGCATTCATACTCAGGGATCCGTCATGTTTGTTTCAAGTTTCACTATTTTGATTGTTCAATTATCATTATTATCATTATTATGCCGAGGTATTGCGTCGAGTGGAGCAACCCAAGAAATGTGAGTAAATTTAATGTTGAAAAAGTAATGGATATGGGTCATATATTTACTGTTGATTACCACGGAATATAAAATTTAGTACCCCAAGGTGTGCAACTTAAAATGCTCCATCATCATTATTAACTCATCGAGATCATTTTCGTGCATTCCAAAAATAGTTATCTCTATATCAGCTGTAATGGCGGCATTGTTCGTCAAACTGTCCGTTGGAGGTAGAAATGACTTTTGGATGTGTCGTCATGCGAAATGATCAATATCCGCCCTGATAGTAATGTGGATAGCCCATTGTCCAGTCAACCCTCCGGAATAACATAGAAACATGGAATAAACACGTGAACTCGTAATAAACTGATAGCCAGCTCTGACTGCTGAACGAAATAGCAGAGATTTGCATTTAGCTCCGAGTCCACAAGCTCTGGATAACATGCATAACGCACATACAACCTGGAGTTCACTGATGCCAAAAGTCATTTGGTGGTGGTCAGGATAAACTCGGTGCAGTTGAGGGTGCACCTAGAAACTTCCTCTCTGTCAGCGTGCCACTTATTACAGTGCATAAAGTGATGGCGGTGAATCCTCCACCATGAATTTGCATCGAAGGTCACCACAACATCAACTTGTAAATGCATCGCAACTTTAAGTGATTATATTCCAAGAAATCATGCATTACAGAAGCTCTTGTCAAAATTTAAAGTGAATGAGGAAATAATCTACGGAGTTTTCACTAATTTTTTATGATCACATGTAGACAATAAAAATAAATTAGTTGGAGCGAGATAAATAGGAATGATGTAGATTGTTTGTATTGGGTAATTTTCTTACTCGTTTTTTTACAGTATTATACGTCTAAAGTGTTTTGTTGTGAGAGAGCTCTCATGAGCACCGAGCTTTTATTGCGCCCTGATGTATCTTTCGAAGTGGCCATGGCCGGGAAAACTTTGTAACTATTAGCGGCTCACAGTCTATACAGCTATTCTCCCAGGGACATTTATGCTCGCGAGATTTTGATTTAATTAAGAATTTTTAGAAAGTAAATTCCGTACCTCTCATTATCTGCAAGCTACTGAACTTGATTGCCTCGGTGTACGACTTTATTTTTCCGTCAATTTGTTCTGTAAGTGGCAGTAAAGCACGTGCATTACCTCTAAAAGTTCCCCCTGATTCTTTCTTATTGTCCGTGATCTAGCGAGCATCCTAGCTTCTCCGTAGATTCAAGTGTAATTTTCTGGCATAAAAAATCAAATGAGAGTATACAGATTCACCTGTAATCTATCATCTTAAATGTACTCGAGCATTTATTCAGGCGAAAAATTGAATTCTTCTTAATGCCATAAGATTTAATATCTCCTTATTTTTTTAATTTTAGATATTACGAGGAGTGAGCTTTGATGCACTGCGAGCTTCATTGGATCCGAGTCACCGAGGATAATTTAATTCTCTCCTTGGTAAATTTCCATTGATCTTATGAAGACACAAAAGCTCACGAAAAATAACCGATATGAAATTCGCCTGTTGGTGTGTAACCAGTGCAGCATGAAGGGGACACCTTACCAGAGGTGAAATATACGAGTGAAGTGAAATTGAATAGAGCTTCACAGAGATGTACTCTCAATTCACGCTCTATCTATACTTGCTTGGTTTTTCATTGAAATATGACACGTTTAACGGTCAGAGTTCACCGAACCGCACAAACCCGGTCTTTTCGTCATTCGGCCATTTCACTTGGTCAAAAATTTCCAAACGTGGAAACTAGATATATTGCTCTAGATTTTCCCTCGGATTGAGAACAATTGCTTCACACATGAAAAATTTTTGAAAATT